TCATCAACTATTACAGCTGGATTTAGTTCCCTGACTAACCTGAATAGAAGGTATTCTTTAAGGATGGAAAGCCACTTAAGCATGTAAAAAAATCATGGTCATTATTATTTGCCACTCCTGCACATATTTATGTGCCAAATCAGAGAATCATGGAATCACAGAATGTCAGGGATTGGAAGGGGCCTCAAAGGATCATCTAGTCCAATCCCCCTGCCGGAGCCAATCACCTGATTTAGAGATAAAGTTATGTTTCTAGGGAGTTTTTAAAAATCTGTTTATTATAGGAGACTTGTATCTACAATATTGGCAAACGTGGTAAGACACAAAACTCCTCCCTCTCTTTTTTTTGTTTTAGGATAGGGTCTGAGCAACGTTGAAGTCAGCCACGCTTTGAGTGTTTGTAGTGTTAACAAAATCCTTGTTTCTACAGCTTGTTTCTGGCACAACAACGCTTGGCAGCTGAGTATTCCGATGAAGGTGAAAAGAATAGAGGACAAATGAATAGATAAGATTGTTACACAGCATAATAACTTGGCCTTCCTCCTGATCAACCTGACAACCCTTCCTTCTAGTTAAGCGATTCTTTAATTAGTTCAGTGCTCCCTAGTAGGAGTTTGGAGATAGTTCTTTGGAGGATTGAAGTAAAAGACAATTACCAGAAGGTTCTTCTAGAGAAGGTAATTTCTTCCAAGGAACAACTTCTAGGAAACAATGTTCTTTTAAAAGTCAAAGTTACCTCTTACAGCCCCCATCTAAAGAAACTGTAGACAGCTTGTAGCTTCACAGAAAACAGAGGCTGTATTGTATTTGAATAATATTATGACTTCAATATTGTGTCCCTCCTGTCTTCAGACAAACTGGTCTGCATTTCTTTTTCCTGGGGATGCATAAGGTATCCCTCAACTGCATAGCAAGAAGGCACAAACAGGCATCCTTCAAAATTCCCCTGGGAGTAGCATTTACAGCAGTGTGGAAAGATGGATGTGGAAAGATAAAAGTGTATCTCTTATATAAATGTTTGGGAAACAATGGTAGTATTGGCTTCAGCTTCTTCAAATGACCAGAAATCTCTAGGGGGGGCTAGAGAAAGGCAAAGATACTGATGCACAAACTAGCACTGGGGAGCTGACCCAAATCTATAAAATGGACCCAAATCTATAAAATGGACCCAAATCTAGCACCCAAGGCTATGAAACATGAGAAGCTGTACTTACACTGCCATTCCAAATATGCATAGAAGAGAAACTATTAGAGAAACTGAAGCAGAAAAAAAATATTTTTACCGTTGAAGAAGTGGGGCGTGATGACTGAATCTAACCTTAGGAACCAACACATTCTTATCTGCAATGTACGCGTACCGTACTAGGTCGCAGATAAAGAATCAATCTATAGTGGTGTTTTTTAAGAAGCACAGCTAGAACATCAGATTCATGAGCCACAATGTTTTACTGATTCCTTAATATCATAATGATATTATCAATAAATAAATAAATAAAAATAAATTATTGATTTATAATAATAAATATCAATAATTTTGGGGGAATAAGAGAAAGCAGAATGTTAAATCAAGGAATGACAAAATGACCATCACAAAGCAGTTGAATGGCCGCAACGTTAAAATAGTAAAATTATTGATATAGGATAAAAAAGGAAAGGAAAGGACAATATGAAATTAATTAATAACCTTCCAGAAACAGTCATATAAAAAGTCATTGACATGTTTTATGTTCTAAGATTAGTTTAGAACGGATTTTTGTAAGCAGGTAAGTTGTTGCATGTGATTCTTAAACATTGTGGGTATTTTAAAACTATTGCCTGGGATTATGCATGTCCTAAAGCTCTTGTTGAACACCTTTGTCAAAACATGGACTACGTAATAAGTACTAATTCCTGTAAAATGCTGCTCTCCCAACATTATTACAGAAAATCCCTATGAAGTTCATTTCTGTCTAGAATGCTGGGTATATGAAGGATACTTTAGTAGAATCCCATCCTAATTCACTTTCACTCTGAAGCTGGATGCCATACACGGCTGCTTGCCTTTTGGTGGTTACCCTGGCTGGATGTTCAAAAATCAGGAAGAACACTTCCACAAACGTTATTTCATACATTAGGAAGTCGGTACTTTTCTTGTCAGATCATATCTGCAGAACTGAAGTGTCAGTAATGCAGAAACGTTCGGTTTTGCAGTAGGTGTATCAGTCACCATGATCACATGAGAGCACGGGTTTCAGTATGGGAGTGCAACTGGAGTGTAAACCCAGTATTTACAGACTGACTGTTCTGCTCAGCTACTGGTTCTTGACTGCAGCACGTACAAGCTAGCTTGAATAACATGTTTATTTTCCCATGTTGAAAATGCACAAAAGGCAAAAAATTTTCCTATACTGGTGCAGACAGTCTTCTACTCTTCATTGTATCTTAGAATTATAGTGCAATAACTTAAAATTATAGTCTGATAAGCGTTGATGTAAGCTGGCTTGTTAGTAGCAAACGATGGTAAGTTGTACAGATGTTCTGCTGGATGTGAACTTTGCAAACAATTCTACATTTCAATGTCCTATACAGATTCTAAATATCCGTGCTGATGAGCATTACCATCTTCCAAACAATTCAGCTGATTCTGTAGGACAGCAAGAATTATCATGCTTCTAGCCACTCTTCCTTTTAATTGCAACATCCATTATGTACACTACTTAAAATGCTCTATAAACCCAGATCCTGATGTATCCTGCAGTTCTTAGAATTCTGTTTGCTCAAAAGTACGACTGTATCTGGCATGGAAAATCAGGGCACTTGTTCAGAAGCAGGAAGCGAGGCGCTCTGTTGGCCCAATGTATAATTTGCACTGGCTATTTTATTTTCAAAAAACTGCTCCCCCTTCTCCTCCTACCACCAGATCTCCCAGGCCTGATGCAGGAATTACTTTGTGTACCTGACTTCAGCAGCAGCTGATGATGCTTGCTGGCTTTGCTCAAAAATTTGAAAAACTCTGCAATATCAAAAATGTCGAAACAGTTGAGTTCAGTGAAATGAAAGTTGCTGAGGAATGCAACAGGAGTGTCAACCGTTAAAATAAAGGAGACGACCTTCACTTCCATTGGAACATAAGATCCAACTATATTTGTACAGAAAGAGCAGGATGAAAAGAAAGTAGGGAATAAAAGAGATTGGTAGAAAGGACTAAGTAGCGTGGGTTGATGCCAATCATTTCTCAAGACCAGCTTTAGCCACAGTGTGTACGAAACAGCATTGTTTTATGTCTGAAACCTCTAGTTCTTACAAGAACATACTTGTGAAATGTAATCCTACGCTGCTTTTGGATCTCTTTGCATGCAATACTTCAGTTTTTAACTACTATCATACGAGGTAAGGTAACTAAGATCTTACGTCTTACAATAATCTACACTTTTTTTTTTATAGTTTAAATTTTGGGGTCAAAATTTATTGGATTAAAGCCAGCCAAATCACCACGGGATATCTCAAATGTAATGAATTTAGATAAATGAGGGTGTGTGGAAAATGCAGAGACTCATCCTCTGAGACATTTAGGAGGCATGGGAACTGCAGAGTATCCTACAAAGCTGTAAATGCCGTACGGGAGGCTGCCGAAGGCCCATTGCTGGAGAGGAGATTACTTGGGAGCAGAAATCAGCACCTTCCCAGGAAAGCAGAAACATCTGAGATACACCTGTGGCTACACCAAGCTGCAAGGTGGCACACATGACAAATCAGGAATTTCCTCCATATTTTACCATCAGAAGACACAGTGGTCTGTATCTAGAAAGAGGAAAATACTTTTTTTTTCACTCTTTCAAACCTCAGCCAGGTTTCATTGGGTCGAGCATTACAGATTTAACAGGAACTTTGGGGAGGGTGTGGGGGGAAAGACTGCACTATATGAAGGAGTAACAGAAGAGGTTTAGTATGGAATTAAATTTTATGCTACAGTGAGTTTTGCTATAATAAGGCACAGTCAGTTCTGATTTGGCCAGGCAGACTAAGGAAACAGGATTCCTTAAAATCTGCCTCAGCATCTCAGGAGGTAGTGATTCATTCTGTTTGGTTTGCTGAAGGTTTAATGCTGCAAGCTGCTCAGTCCTTTACAGTCCTATTGGTTGATTTGGGAATTATTAGCAATTGCTAGAGTGATAAATAAATTTGCAAAAGTAGAAGAGAAGAAAATACAGAGAGCTGTTTAACATCAGGACAAATTGAAGATTTTTACATATACAAATATTTTATGTTATAAATGGATACAAATAACTAGAGAGGGTCAATCCATAATCTCCAGATTACTCTCATGTTTTAGAAAAAAATACTCTTACTTTTGTTCTTTTGGAGTGGGAAGATTCTGAATATCCTTGCCTAACTCCTGAATAAAATTCTAAGAACATGGAAGACGCTGAAGAAATCCTGAATTGTGTGATAGGCAAGTGATGCTAGTTTGTTCTATGGCTAGACAATGTTATATTTATCCATAATAAACTTAAGGTAAACGAGAAACTTCAACTTTTCAAAATCATCTATGGCAGAAAACATCTGATTCATGAGGAATCAGATCTTAAAGGTAACATTTAGGCTAGAAAAAAGTAAAGTTGTTTCCACTTTATTCTTAACCTCCCTTTTCATGTAAAGACATAATTTTGTTGGGGTTCCCTTGGGATAGTGCTATCTATAAACCTTCCAGGAAAAACTGGTAAGCCTGCTCAGGAAAGAAATCATAAGGGTTGGGAAAATGTGACATCCACATTTGGTTTTGTTTTGTAGTTCGTGTACATTTCCTCAAACACTAAAAGACATTACCATATATATGGTTACATTTTCCAGCAAGTGTTGCCACTAACTTGGACATGTGGCTTGGAATTATGATTTGAATGTTGCTCAAAAATACACAGCTTTTCCTGAAACACAAACAAGCCAATGCCTATCACGGATGTTCTCTGCTTGAGTGTTTGTAATATATAAAAGCATATATTGGAAAAAGTGGGATTGCTTACCTCAAAAATATAATCTTTTCCATCCTTTCCATGTACAGCTTTAACAGCACAGATGTCCAGACCACCAAATATTTCAGAACAGGTGTCAACCCAAAGCTTGTACCTGTTTCATAAAAACAGTTTTTTTCTGTGAGTATCTCATCAGGCTCTTGTTTTTCTACAGGCTTAACCTAATCATGTATTTTATAAAACATTTGCTCTAAATTCAGAATTTTCACTATATTGTCAGTTTGTATTTCCCAGAATAGCAGATTAGAGATACTGGCCTGATTACTCTACTTTCCCAGTAGAATCCAGAAAAGCTGTGGCTCTGTATCCTGACCTACTGTTATGCTGGATTCTGTCCCAGTTTGTATTGGTCCAAACATGTGTCTGCTCTAAACTGTGAGTAACCTGAAGATAAGATATGCTGGAAGACAAACAGCGTTTAGCTGTATCCCATCCGTACATCCCATATTCAAGTGTGACAATCCCCTTGCCTATTATAGTTAGTAGTGTACTTAATTATGGATGGGTTTTATTCTTTTATCAGGAAAACTAGAACAAGAGTCTCTGTCTTAAATCACAGGTGCAACTGTATTCCCAAGCAGCAATGATGGCTTCACATGTACGTCACTTAACAAGGCAAAACAAAAATCCAGAAAAATCAACCCTTAGGATAATGCAAGAGAAAGACATGGGACAGTATGTAGAAGTTATGTAGCATGCAGGCATGGATAACGTTCTTCATGTAGAGTTACAGACAACTACAGTAAAATTCTATAGAAATGTCAAGAATTCTGAGGAATTCTACACCTCCGAAAAAAAGCTAGTGTTCCATACAGTATGAAACATAACTCCTCCAGTTGATCTCTAACCCCATGGTAAAAAATACAGACTGAAGAATGGACAGTTTACCCATTCTACATGCAATAGCAGGAACTATTTTTCTTGCATGAAGAGCTTTATCCATTCTGTGAATAGAGAGATTATGTGACTAACATGTGAATGAAGCGGGACTTACGACAAAAAGAGTGAGGCAATTCCTGTGATCAAGTGCAGAACGGTTAGTGACGTAACGGGGAGCCATAACACTTTGGTGAGAGCGTTCTGAGGTGATGTAAGCTGGGTGTGTTTACTCAACGGCAAGGATTTACTCACAGGACACAAACTAGCACTGAGAACTTTCATTAACTAACAGCAGAGCTGCACATGGGTGCCCGTAGGTGATGATATGATTTTGAAAGGTTATACAGGCAGATGCCACAGTTCCACCAACTGAAGGACATGTTTTGCTTAAAAAAAACAGGTTTAAAGCAGCCATTTATCATAAACTTTTTTTCTGTTTCATTGGCCAGCATTTGAGTATAAACAAGAGCTACTTCCTTTTACAGACCCTCTCCTGCTCCAGCTTTTGAGCCACGATGACAGATTTGCCACATCATAGCATTTTCCATTGCAAAAAAAATCCATGTAATAAACATGGCATTTGACTTCACTGTAGGATCAAAGGAAATTCATTGCTGGGCTGAGAGTCTTATTCAGACATAAATACCTTCAGCAATAGCATCCCTTCCAAGGAAACTTATTAGGTCACATTCTTTTTATTTTCTTCTATCAAGTCTGTTCCAGTGGAAAAGTTTTTCTTCTAAGCAGAATACAAGAAATTGACACAACTGTTTGAAAAAATCCTGATGTTAATATTTTAGCAATGAAAATAATTTTTTTCCCTGTGGGAAACATGTTTTTTGTTCAAAATGAGATGTTTTTTTGGATGCCTCATAATTTCAACATCTGTAGATGCACTGACTGACTGGATTGCTTGCATGCACTTGCTTATAAATAACTTTTTTTTTGCTGTAAAACACCGTTGTTTATCTTAGAAAGGCATGAGGACAGCAAAACTTCTCTTTAACAGTAAATATCTGGACTTACATGAAAAAAGAAGAATACATTTTCTTTAAAATAGCAAAACATTAATCAGATCTATGAAGGCATTTTTAATAGTTTGTCTTCTGCCAACAAACACTGAGCTGGAAAAATACAGTTAGATTTGGAAAAAGAGGTCTTGGACGGACTGGCCTGTAGTGTTTTAAACCCAAGGCTTGCCCAGTAGGTCTGACAAGAGGTCACGGGTTCCATTTTCCCAGGGCCAACGTAGCGTGCAGCAGCCTTAGGCCTGACGGATGACGAAGTGGTGCTCCTCAGGTGTCTGACACGCAACACGGTGTGCCAGACGAGGTGTGCACTTAGCAGAGGTCTCTACTCTTCGGGTCCTATTTAGGGAGCAGAGCCTCTCCGAAATGGAGCGGTCAACAAGAATGGGTCACGTTGGAATGTGCTTGTTCTCCGCCTCGTCATTCTCCCTTATTGTGCCACATTCTTCTTTCTTGTCTAAATTTCCAGACTAAGATTTGCATTCAGTCAACAACGCCAGTTCAAGCGCCGCTTTCGAAACGCTTCTTCCCAATTCACAAGATGCATTATAAATCAAATGCACATGCATCAGATTTGATTGCTTTTGGTATGCCATTAAACTACTTCAGCCCTTCAGAAAACTTCAATTTTCCCTTCTCTTCTTTGCTCTGCTTTGTGTATTTCAGTGAGTAATCAAAAAAGAAGTTCTGTTTTGTTGGCTAGTGTTTTTTTTAACGGGAAAATACCTATTATAATCTGATTATCTTACATTCCAAACTGGAAGCAGAAGCAAAGCACACGGAGCATTTACAGTGAGGCAGCCAGGCAAGGTCAGCGCTTCCCACTCCTTACCCATACTTGATATTGTTTCGTTTTCCTTACGGCAGATCTGAAGTGCCCGTGTTTTCAGAGGCACAGCTCATGGACTGTAATTACACACACTAAAGCACACACTTTCTTTTCCCTCTCAGCGAAGGCATAACCTCACTTTCTAAAGGAAGGTGGGAGGGGAATGAGAAAGAGAAAATAATGTGGCTCCGCTCCATCCCCAGAGGGGAGATCAGTGAGGACACAGTCTAGACAGGGCTTGGGCAGCAGGGAGTTGTAATTCCCGTCTTACTTGTTTTCACCTTTCTCAGGGCAGGCAATGGTTCAGTTCCTGTGCCTCCCTCAGCTCATAAGAGGGACCAAGTTGTAGGTTGCAGACTTTGGGGGAAAAAAAACCCCAACCAAACCCACCAGAAAAAGACTACTGTTGAACTTTCAAACACTTTTTAAATTATGCTTTTACTGCATGGAGATTTTAGCTTCCACTGGTAGCAAACGTTGGAGAAGCTGAACAAAAGAAAATTCATAGCCATCAAAAAGCCTCACAGATTTATTTTGCAGGAAAAAGAGGTTTATATGTTGCAGAGGAACTTGGAGCAAACGAGTGGTACTGAGAGAAGAGTTCTGTCAATAGAAGACCTGAGCTTCACAATGGAACTGCAAGGAGAACGTGTTTGACTGGACTGCAAAAAGTATCCAGCATAAGGCTGGGAAAGGAAAAGCAGAGTAAACCAAAGTACAGAGCTGGACTGATGACACAAGGGAAATAAGCTTCAGTATATCCCAGCGTCGGGGTAAAAAGCCTCACAGTGCAGTTCAGTGGAATTTTCAAAAACAGAAAATAAGCAGTTTAGCAGGATTGAAAGTAGAAAACAGAAATATGATTTAAATAGGCAAAGATGAGATTGTGTGGTTATAATAGATGATGTAGAGGGAGAAAAGTTTAAAACACTGTGGCATGGGGTCAGACTGTTAGGTAAAAGAGGGCGAATGAACCAGAGGAAATGACTGATTGGTGGAATCTGAAAAGTTGACTTTTCTGAAGGGAATTCCAGTGGTTTTCTAGGTGCAGATAGGGAGGTAGGAACCCAAGGGTGCACTTAAGCCTCTAAAGCTGGTACTCAGTTTGGGTAGTTAACTCTGAGACAAGTCACAGGGAAACCCTTGGCTCATGTGCTTTCATCTAACTCAAAGGGCTTTTTTCCAAAATGAAGGGGAGACATACATTTACTGTGAATTGCACATCAGCAATGTGATTTCTTTAAAAATTCATTTAAAATAAAATTCCATTAATTTTTTTAAATTACCTTTTACATGAGACTTGACTTACTTATCTGACATAGCAATTTGTTCCAGCATTGCAGAGCCCGTGTTTGTCTTCCAGTTTCCGGATATGGAAGTTCTCCTGAAAGGGGGAAAACATTACAAAGACAGCCAGTGGTTTTGTATTTTCACTGCCTCTTAAATTACTCTGATTTCCACATGAGCACTATAGCAGTATTTACACCTTTGTCGTATCTGGCAGGTTATAACAGAACATCTAAACCATCAAGAGTTCTAGCAGGCATCACAACTGCCAGTAATACTCACTTCACCGTAGACATGTTAGGAAGCACAACAACGCTGTGAAATTTGTGTTCCCTGTTTATTCATTCAAGACTTTTTTAAAAAAACACCTACTATGATGAAGTGAAAGTGTTAGCAATAAGCTGCTACCAGTTAAAAACAGATCGAATAGCCTGTAACCTACTACTACTGCAAATGTCAAGAAAATGAAGCTTCAGCTTCTCATTTCAAATCCATCCCACAGCAGAGTATGGTCCCAATACTCAAAAATCAAGATATCTATCTTTTTAACATCTCCAAAGTCATCTCAGATCTGTTTCAGAGCTGGATTTTGGTTTCTCCTCCAGGTTTCTGCTAGTTTACTAATATAATCTAAACAGTTTAGGTCAAGGCTTGAGTATACCATCTTTTATTTAATCTCTAAGAAAATAAAAAAATCATACAAAGTTTTTTTCCCCTCAGACCTTAGGACTGCTACCGGGGCTGACAAGACTACTATTTTCTGAAACCTAAATGCTGTACTGGGAATAGGCTATGGATACAAATTATGAAGTGTTTCCAGTTAGTAAAATAATAGGAACATCTGTAATGTATTAAAAGTATATGAGGCAGCAGCTATAGCGCTCTCTCCATTTTTCTGTTAACCTAATTACGAGGGTCAGTAGCAATCGTGGGGGAATGTTGGCTGTTCTGTGGGAGCCTCATAAAGTTAGCTGAATTTTCAAGCCATATCCTTTGCTGATGTGGAAGAAACTAGAGAAAGGGGAAGGTGTGTGCTGAGTGCTGTGTGTAAGGTAACTTTGCCCAGTCATAAGGCTATTTTGGGATTTCTGCTTCGTTTTCCAAGTTTGTTTCTATTTGTGTACTTACAAATTAAATATTTTAAGTTCATTACTACTCTACACACATATTCTGCATCAGAGAGATAATACTTCTCACAAATGACAATTCAGCTCTACTGCAGACTTCTCAAAGGCATTCTTAGCATGTACTATTTAAGGTGTCTTAGCCAGCAAAATGTGACCAATTCAGAAAAAAAAAAAAAAAAAAATTGTCCTGAAGTCTTTTAGCAAGTGTTAAGTGATACATAAGCACCTGATCAGACCATGTGGCACTTTAAACCTCAGATATAATTTCTGTAATTCGCCTATCATTTCTTCTACTGAAATATGTAGGTTTCCCACCCTTCTTCATGTCTGATAATTGCTAAGCGTTTTTCACATTGTTATTTCCTCCTCTTTTACTTATACTGAGTAATATAGAAAACAACTCCTAACACTTCTGAGTGCTTTACACTTAAGCTTAACATCTTTTCACTTATTTGGTCTTTGGAAAGAAGGAAGAACGGTTTTAAAAATGGGGAAAAAGGCATTATGATTAGTATAAACAATTCATAGTAACTTGAGCTTCCTCTTTTCAAACACCTTCCTGCTTTATTTAGTACCACCTGAAGTACACAATCCAAATTGTCTGAAGAGGGACTTATGAGCAGAAAAACATGTCGCAACGTCTACCTACGACTCTTGCGAAGGTACCCTGCTGAGCGGGTCGACTCTGTGGCACTGTCTTTGGTCAGCGTGTTCTGCTATTGTTTTATCAACCTCCTGATCAAAGCACATTACGTTATGGATTCAGAGTATTGCTTTTGGAGAGGACATTTAGATGTAGTGGGTTTTTTTAATTTCTGTTTTTCTTCGTTGTGTGTGACCCTTTTAACTCCATTTCCTTGAAGTCAGATGAATTCTGTAACGGTACCAAGTGCAGTTAAGTATGCGTCACAGAATGGTTTGAGGCGCTGTGGTATTTGGAGGGATCCAATGTTGCATTTTGGCTATAACCTCTACTGACAGATGATAAGCACCAGTGTTTTGTGAGTCATGGATCCACTTATACCACAATTTCCCACAGAATTATAAAACTGAAGCTCTTAATAACTCTCTTTAAAACTAGAAAAACAAATGTTCAGCTGGTATTTTTTGTGGTGACTCTCTAAGTACTCTGTTCCTGTGTCACAGAACAAAATGAGAACCAGCTGTAAAACAATATTCTACTGACATAATGTATATATATGCATATGAAGAATTTTACAGACGTTTGGTAAATCTTCTCCTTTTCATGATGCTTTGTAACAATGGATCAGTATTTCATTTTTGTGTGTCATTTAACTCTATGAAAGAATCTAGAGAAAAAATGATTGCTAAAGCTTTTAGCATTTGGATGAACCCATAGTTTCTCAGCAGAAACTTAAAAATAAATAAAAGGTAGGAGGAACAGGCTGTCATTTTAACTTATTTTTGCTGCCCCTTAGGCCAACTGCTTCTTCTGTGAAGAAGAAACATTTATGTTTGGAAATGATAAATTTGCCATGGGTGACTCTTCCAAAATTATTCCAGAGATTGAACAGCATTTAAATTTCAAGATCAAAAAAAAAAAAAAATGCAGGGCTCTCTGCTACGAAATGTAGTGGTCCGATTTTTACTGTAGGGAGTGAACCATCAAGTTACTAATACTTCATCTGACTGCTGGTATCTGGTGGAGTGTCATAAGCATCAAGAGTTGGGCCGTATTCCTAAGACTCTGCCACTTGGGAGCTTTAAGACACCGACAAATCAACTCCATTTATTACAAACAACAGAGGAGGGGAGAGATGAGTAGCACAACACAAGAAACCTGCCTGTCAAAGCACTAACAAGAGAGAAAAGTACTATCCTAGCCTTGAAGAGGCAGAAGTAGTTGTATGAAAAGGTCTGGGATAGAGAAAGAAGGCTGACTGGTGGCTGGAAGTAGAGGGAGAACAAGGCTGTTGAATGGCACTGAGTAGAATAAAGGGGCAAGGGAGAACCTGGAGCAGTAAAAAAGGTTAGGCATAAGGAGTAAGGACTAAGAGACAGAAAGGTAGAAGTGGTCTGGGAAAGCAGTGGGACTGAACCAAGATATGGTTTGGACAGATAGGGGAGAGTTGACCTTAGGGTGTAGGATTATGGTGCTATTATAAAAAGTAGGATGGATGTCTTCAGATACGGGGCTAAAGCCACAAAAAATCAACAATGTAAGACAAACAAGCAAAATTGGAATTAACTTTCCTGGAGAAGCCAGGGGCTAAAAGCTCTGTCGTTCAGAAGCATATGTTTATGATTCTTATTGCCTATATGGAGAAGTGGAGTAGACCCAACACACCTAAAATTTTGTAGGGAGCTTGAATTACAGAGTTTCTGTCCTACGTCACTAAAAACACTTGAAAGTCATCAACAAAGGACTTCAGAAACCTCTCAATCCTCATAAGCTATTTGAGTGTTCTGCCTTGGTCACTGTGTACAACTGAAATTTCCAACACACTGGTTTTGCAAAATTTAGGTAGTTCTGTGTTTTAAATAAAGCAGAAGGATTGAGTGTCCATACTGCTGGATGGATCTGACCTATGGGAACAGTATTTCCACCCACATTTCTGTGTTGCGCTTTCTTGAGGCCCCTCAGATGTGCAGGGAGAGGCAGATGGACTGCTGAGCTGTTCTTGGAAGGCCCAGTCTTTGATATTCTTTCTCAAATACCTCTTCCAGTCCTATGACAGGAGAGGCCAGCGGTTACTCACACAGTTTTGATCTTGTGACTGTACGTCTTAGGGGAGAAGTCAAGAGTATGAGGTCTTCCAATATCAGCCTAAGGAATTGTATTCTGCCCCTTCCTCCCACCTTGGATAAGAGGTTCTACTCTTTCGTGGAGCTTGTTGGCTGTTCCTGAATTACTTGACACTTAATGCGAACTCTGTCTTTAATATTATAAAACATTTTACACATTTTCTTTAACCCAACTCCAACTTTTGATTCTCTTGGTACTTATGGTTTGCTTGGAAGTCAATTATTTTTACTGATAAAGAACTTGACTGTACCTTACAAATGTCAGCATACAAGAACTCTCTGATCCCTCCAATGTTACAGGAGTTCCTAGAGAAATATCTTTGCATGTGTATGTGGGTGTGCAGATGTAAATACATATGTGTATTTTTATCCACGTTTTATTACATTTTTCCTGCTTCAGAATTGTAAGCATGAGGGAAAAAATACATGAGATGATCTAACCTGTCTCAAAAACATGAGTGAAATGAGTGTCTGTCAGATGACATAATTGAAATAGAGGAAAAATATACATAAATGCAATTACCATAGCTCAGCTACTACATGATAACCTGTTTTGCTACTCTAGCTTCATGGTGCCTGTGAAACTGAAACAGCCTTTTTTTAGTCCCCTGCATAGTCACGATCTTTAAACAAACACCTCGATTCTAAAATTAGAAGATATTTTCATCCATATATGTGAAGGCCATTGCAAGATTTGAATTTTTCTTACATGTGTTATGTTAAAAGAGGAGTACTTTGTTCCATTGAAGTGTTACGATGCAAGTTTGCATGAATGAATGCCATCTAGATACCCTTAGAAGGAGAAGAAAATTTGACCCTAAGTTGGTGAAAAGATACAAAGGAATCTGATTTAACAAGTCCTCTAGAAAAACAAATCCCCTTCCAACTGCTCCTTTCTTTAAACGAAAAAATAAACAAAGATTAGCAGGAAAACCACTCTGGCAGGCTCACCTGTTGTCTTATTCTCCTCCTCCCAGTCACAATCAACTTAAAAAACAAGTCTTGATAAATCTAGATGAAATATTGTCTTTCCAGTGAGTATGACAATGGAGGCACGGAGTCACCACATCAGCTCAGAGACTCATCCAACAGTCTTAATCTTACTGGTGCTTATCAATTTTGAAACAAAAGGATGAAAGAATATAAGGTTTTGGCTCACATGTATGCTTTGTAGTTACTGCCTATCTTTTGGATCCTGATGTCATATTTGGAGTCTATGAAGGGTTCAGTAGTGGCGTAGGTCTGAGTAAGTGCTACCACGCTGGCTATGTCCTGAAAATCGTAGTGGTTGTCTACCTTGATCTGTCGTCATCATACCATAAGCAAACAGCATACACAAAAGAAAAAAGAGCAATTAGGAATAAAACGTAGAATTCAGTTGCAAATGGCATTCATAAGAAGTAAATTTTTTGACAGCATTAGTTTATAAAAAAAAAGAATTGGATATTTTATCTGATTTCTAGATTCTGTAACATTCTTGTAATTAGAGTATGTCTTTTTCTAGGCAAAATATTACCTGTTCATTTCCAGAAAGCAATTTGCAGACAGTGGAACTTTATTTTGCTTTTCAGTTTGTTTTTTTTTAAGTGGTGATGTTAATTTTAGACCTGAAGGCTTTAGAATTTTTCAAGGTGTAATAATATGCAACACTAAGTTGTATAGAATTCTTGCTGATTCTGTAAATTGCTCATGTAACTGAATGTATATGGAGCCCACCGTGTCCTGGCACATCACATACCTCCCCGGGAGGGAAGAGATGAAGGGTCATGATATCTCCATGAGTGTGCATTCACATGGAGAACAGAGCGTTGGCTCAAGACAGCAGAATCAGTTTTTCTCATTTTCCCACTGCTCTGCAAGGAGTCAGACTTTCTAGGAGCAGAATGTCCTAGTTGGGGAACACTATGCTAAGATAGCGAATGGTAGGAAACCCATCAACTTTAACATCTTGAAATAAGATGGAGGTGGAAAAGTGGAGAATATTGACTTAGGGGGAGAGGGAGAAGGAGACTTTAGAGGACAGGTGGAGGACAGAGGCATTACTTCTGGAGAGGGAGGGCACATCTCTGCGGTTGACTTCAAGGAAGGTGGTGAAGTGGGGAGAAAAAGTGACTCAGAGAAGTCTTAGGGCTGGTGGAAAATGGGAGAGGGAAACTGGGACCGCAGCAACACACTGACCCAAAGTACATTTCAGAAAGGTGAGGAAAGGAGGCAGGGAGTAGTATTTCTCATGTTATCTAATATTAGGAGAGTCTGCACCTCCTTGCAAGCCCAGCATCATCACCGGGTACTTCAAAGGGAACCTGTGGGCCAGAGTGCCCCAGCAGTGAGGTGGCACTTGCATATTAAATGGGTCTGGTGCAGCTAAGAGAAGTTATCGGGCCCAGACATTTGCTCTCAACTCTCCGATGGAGAACACCACAGACTAATTTGCCATTTGAGAGCCACAAAACCAGACACCATGCCTGATTTCAACTTCATTTCTGAAAACTTCATAGCATTTGCGAGTCTAATTACTACCTATGGGAACACTACTCCTAGCAATGCCTCCAGGGAGGACTGGGGTACCAGGAGAGCCTTTATTCGCACTCTGACAGTAAGCATTTCACTACAAAAGACTGGCGTTTAATCTTTAAGGATTTAAAATATTTTATAGCTTAAACAAAAATCTAGATTTCTTTCTCGACATTTGATATGTTGAACATTTCTGTACATTATTTCCCTTTTCTGTAAATGAGAGGTGAATATTGCAAGTACAGTATAAACATTCTAATACTTCACATATGCAATCCACAGAAACGGCCGTTTAAGTAATTAGTGGTTAATTCTGCTCTTAATTAAACCGGCTGCTGGATTTTCCCTGACTTATGAAGTACGAAATAAAGCAAAACAGTCATAGGCAAAAGAGCATAACATAGAGTACAACTTGCATAATTACTGAATAAAATACAATTAAATCAGTTTTTTACTGCTAGCGGCAAATACTATGTTCATGGAGCTTTTGGAGATTCAAGATGATAAACGTAACTATTCTCTGGTGATTTGTTTTAAAATCTAAAACACTTAATGCACTGAAGTGTCTTCAGTGAGAGAAAGTGGTTAATCTGCAATGACTAGACATTTTCACTGCTACCAATGAAAGTGGGATTTAAATCATATCCAGCTGAACCAGCATTGTGAGATAAGTGATATCAAAACAACTGTACTCACCACTGAAATGCAATTACTTTGGAGAAAGAAAGCAGCAGTTATACAGCAGTATGGAACAACCACAGAGAATACATTAAGACAGGAAATGAAGAAAAGTTCAGTATCAAGCTGAAACTAATAAAGAACCAAGGCAACACCTTCCTATATTCCCAGGTCCAAAAACTTGGATTGTGCAAAAAGACCTTGACTCTTAAATAGTTTCACTGCAGTCAACTAAATTAATCAGTAAGGTTCTGCTTCAAGAAAGCATCTCGGTGCGTTTCAAAGAACGTCCTATATAGGACAACGCCTGAACTGAAAAGCCATCGACGTGAAAACATTTTATGTGTTTTAATGTTTTCCTAGAAAGAGGTGCTTTTTTGAACAATGTGCAAGCAGAGATTTGCAAGGGCAGGGATCTCAGGCAGAACATGGACAATGAAAAGTTAAAATATCCAGGAAACAAAAGAACATGCACATTATTTCGGACCCACGCCCGGCCTCCTGACATGCAATAAGTAGCATCTGCACCTTTCCCATGCCTGAGTGAGCATGTCCAATCTTCACAACAACAGGAAATGTTGGCATTGTTAGCTAGGGGGAAAACAAAAACGACATGTTAGAGAGAACAACCAGGAGTTAAATGATTACGCTACATCAGTTACGAAAATTATTTAGACGTGACCATAATGCAGCCAAAGCTGTTCTTGCCACGAGGGTATTCAAAGATGTTATTCATCGACGTAAGACACTGTTTTCAGACAAATTACTGTGTGTGTTTTCTGGGTGCTGTGTTATTCCCAGTACATACAATTGTGTACTTCTATCCTAACTTTTTTGTATGTCTTTCTTTTGACTTCACTTTTTAAATGGAATTTCCGTTATTTCCGATTTTACGTTTTGCTACTGTGCTTTCTGACCCATAAACTCACACTCTCCAAGGTTATAATCATTAGTGATGTCGAATTAATCACCTTTTTCCTTTTCCCCTTGATTTCCTTTATTTAGCAAGGCTGTAAATTCCTTCTGTGACCCCTTATGAAAGCAATGATGTTTAATTCACCAGAAGAACTTTCTCCAAAGGCAGATCCCAGCTTCTGCTACCGTTCTCTAGGGAAGGCTCCAGCTTCTGCACAGAATGTGAGTAATAATTCAGCCATTGATTAGCAAATCAAAGATGCAAAGGCATATGAATACTCCTTGTTCAATCAAATGATGATGGTTCTGTCTCTCAGAAAGTTCTGGGAATAACCAGGCTTTTTTCCATCAGTTATTTGAAGGAATTTTAGATCTCCCAGTCACGGGTGCAGCTGTCACTTCTTTTTCATTTTCTTCCACCTAAAACGTACATATATCCAACCTCTGCCAACCAGGTGTAAGTACAAATACTCAGTACAACAGGATTGTAACTAGAAGTAAAATACTGACCACCCCCAACATGTGGTTAAGCTGAGCAGCAGCAGGACGGTGAGGGCTGACAGTACGGTCTGAAACCTTCATGGAGCACCAAATTCTAACACAGTAAATACAATCAAAGGCAAAGCTTTTGCTTTAGAAAATAAACTGAGAATTCTTAGAGATTTTACGAGAAATTTATTTTCCAAATATGCACAAAGGATTGTCAAGAGGTTAAATGGAGTTCACACTTATCTCACTGTGCTTTGCACGACATTGCACAGGAACACACAAACACAAACAGATATTTAGGGAAAAAATGTCATGGGATAGTAAATATTGACATTAAGATCAAGAGATAAAGAATAGGAAGGTCACTTGGCTTTTGGTAACATCCAAACCTGTTTGTAGGGTTAGAAAGCTAATTAGACACACATGCTTTTCCTATATTTTAAACATTTATTTTCAAGATGATTTAAGGATGTGCCCTTTAAAAATGCTTTAACTGAAAGGCAAATTTGCACGAGAACAAGTGGACATTCGCTGCAAGGTACATATTCTGTATTACCAGCAGATTCCCAGTACAATACATGAATCTCTTTTTTTTTTTCTTAAATAGACTTTTTCCGACTTTCCTAAAACGCATACCGATGCAATACTTTCTTTTTTTTTCTGACTTCTTTTTAAAAAACATACAAAGGACATCTAAGCAAATGAAACCAAGTTGCTTGTTTTTTGACAGAATCTCAGTTTCTGCTCTGCCTCATCAGAAGAAAAAGGAGGGATCTTTGGATCTACTTTTTTAACATACCAGAATTTTCAAAGCCTGATGAAACTACAGAGTCCTACAGTTGTCAGCTACGCAACACGGGCCGTGGAGGTTTTTCATTGATTTCTGCATCAAACCCAAAGCTAGGGCTAGTAAGTCTTTTCAGAAGAAAAGCAGATTTGATTTAAAGACTTGCAGTTATGAAAAATTTACTGCAATCCTAGTTAAATTATTCCATTAGTTAAGTAAAGGTGTCATAGAATCATAGAATCACAGAATGGTTTGGGTTGGAAGGGACCTCAAAGATCATCCAGTTCCAACCCCCCTGCCATGGGCAGGGACACCCTCCACTACACCAGGTTGCCCAAAGCGTCATCCAACCTGGCCTTGAACACTTTGATACACGTATCTTCTGCCAGTGCATCCTCAAGGTCTGAAATCAAGGATTACCACCACAGGCAAGCAGAACATTCTGAAAACCATCTCTTAGTGCCTTATAACACATGTGGAACAGCAGCTGCCACATTTTGGTGCCTGTGTAAAGGTAACTTGTATTTTTTCAGAAATTCTGGGTACTTAGACTAACACTGCAAGAGTCCGTAACTATGAAAACTTTGAAAGTCTTTTAGTTAACTCTTGCTTAGGAACCATTTCAAGAGTTGGTCTTTAAGCCCAAAATACATTTAATTGCTATTTCAGTCTAACGAATATGAGGCACATAAGCATGAAAAAAATTTATTAGTTTCAAAATAGCCAAAAGCACTTGCAAATCATTATACAGTAAAGATAACCTATACTGCAATTTAAAAAATAAAATCCTTGCTAAACTGTAGGACTGCAAAGTCCTGTGTAGTCAACACCTGGTCACTTATTTATTGCTTTCATATTTTAAAACTAGTCACTTTTCTTTTTTTTTCAATTTTTTTTTGGGCAGGAGGGGGAACAAATCGCTGCCTGACTCAAGATTCATAAGGGCAGCATCACATTTTTATGACTGAGCCATAAACCGCTGAACCAGGGTTTGTAATGGAAATGCTGGCAGACCTCTAACTACAGCAATACAAATGGCCCTCCTGTAATTAAGAGGAGCACGTATCTTCCCATGATTCCAGAGCTGCGGCATCCTCTGTGGGCCACAGGAACAAACACTGACTTAAAATAAAAACAAAACAAAAAAAGAAACAAAAAAAGCAACTCTGCTTTGTCCCTCAGCAAACTGCACCAACGTCGTTCAAGGCAACAGAGTTCACTCTGCTGTGGAGTCGGGTACGAGGATTTCGTGTGGCGCAACGCCACACCCCAGCGCAGGCAAAGGGCAGAGGTGGCTGCAGGGGAAAAGGCCCGGAATACTGCATCCCAAACATCAGACAAGAGAAAACTAGGGAGCATAGAGGGCAGACAGATCCCAAGTTATCCCAGTGCTGCTCTCTTTTGTGTGTATCGCTGGGACAGGCCCATGAGGCCCAGGCTGATAAAGTTGGGAGTTATTTTGGTTTGGGAACAGCGTTTCCTTTTTTCCTGCTCGGACTTTAATTACCATTATTTTTAATTACCATGGTTTTCTCTCTGTACCCGGGGACTAGACAAGTGCCATCAGGCAGTCACTTCCCCACCGCTAACTTGTTTCCAGTTGTGCCTGGTGTTGTTCTGTCAAGCAAGAGCAAAACCTGGAATTCTTATTGAAATGATAGAAAACTTGAGTCCTCCCCCACCTCTTCCCAGTCTGCTCTTTCATGCTAACTTCTGTCCTAACAGAACGGGCAGTCTCAAGGCTTTTCGTACATTTGGGTAAACATTACGTACGATACAACAGTGATCCTAATGCCAAAAACTTACCAGCTCCATGGCTTTCCTTTTAATTTATGTTACAGTTACTTGGTAGAGAGATACTTGAGAGAAGATCTAGCATTTATCAATGGATCCACTACAAACAGAGCTGATACTAATGCCATGTGTTTGCATGTTTTCTTTGAAATGTATTGTTGGGGGGGAAGCCATTTTCCAAAAATAGTATTTATTTTTGAAAGGATGCCTTAGATTTAGAAAATTGTAAATTCTACTGTGACAATTAAAACTGAGGGGAAAAAAATGAGAAAAGACCAACAATAGAAATTACATTAAGAAATGTCATATGTATGAGAGATGGAAACGGACTACATTGCACGAACCCTTGCACATTCATATAACATACACGAAATACATCTGACTATTAAAAAATAAACTAGAATAAACAGAACTTCTATTATAAGTTGAATAACAACACAATAAATTATAAGTATTAATTAGAGAGAAAACAGAACACATGTCAAGTGTGCAATACAACTTTTCGTAGATTTACATGAATATGATTGGAGTTGTAATAAATATTAGTAGCAACTGGAAAAACTGTCATGGCTTTTTGTAGGAACCTACATAAAAAACAGTTGAGATACGTTACTGATAATTGCTAATCCGATATCACTAACCAAAATAACGTCACTAAGTATTAAAAAGTTTTATCAGCTCCTAAAACCTACAAAGATGGATTTGGTCTATATATTTTCATTTCTATGGTTTTAACTTCTTACATTGTTTTTTTAAATAAATATGAAGTCTCATTTCAACAGAACCTTAACTTAGAATAAGTTGTATGGCTCAATTCCATAACTAGGACTAAGCAGGTACTAGGAGAAGGTACTACTTTGATCTGTGAACTCGAAAATATGTTCCCTAGGAGAGCAAAAAGCAGATTACATTTTCAGATAAAAGGCAGTAGTAAAAAAATCTTTTGAAGCAGAATCCTTTTAAAATCTGGATAACAGCTGTCTAGATATCCAAGGGTCAAACTGAGAAATATTTAGCATGGAAGTTGTTTTACTGAAACGACAGGTTTTCATGGTTTCTGTCATATTCTAATAGCATGAATTAAATTTACATACTTAACAACCAGACAAGTCTAAGGGTTGTTACCACAGGGCACCTTCAAACTTGGAGTTCATTCACGTTTGACACGAGCCTTAATGAGCAGAGCACTAATACTTTAAATCCTCCGGGCAGCCTGGGCACTTGTCTAAGAGTTAGAAGTCTAACCCTGTCGTGGTTAACTGCACTGCGGAAGGGATCAAGGACAAAGGAGAATGAGGGATTAAATATTAGAAGTGATTAAATCCGTAATGGAAATACAACAGTATATATGGGTTTAAAATGTGACTGTAATATCCTGTCTGAAAAATCTTCATGTTTGTAAAAACATGTCTATCTTTTCCTTACTCAAATAACGATATGCTAGTATTTTCCATTCAAGAGCTGATTTGCATGCCACTTAACTCTTTACTATCACTTATTTTTTACATAACTACCATTTATTTTATTATTTTCAAGGCAGTCCAGTTGAAAATAATTCTTTTAATGGTGTTGCGTGAACGTCACTACCAGTGAATCTGTAAGAGGC